CCACAAGGATACTCTCTGTAAGCTTTCTGTGCGCTATATGTAGCACAGGTCCCTGGACGGCTATGTGCAGTGTGACTTGTGTCTACTCTGCAGCGGTCCGGGATCTACTGATCCATCTGGCTTCCTGTTGGATTCAAGGGACTGTTCACTCATATATCAAACAATCCGGAATACAACACAAGTTGTCGACCAATATAGTTTATGGAAGGAACGGCCTCTGGATGCTTGGCTGCAGGGCTGGGCACGGTTGAACCTTTTGATCAATCAGTTCCTTACCAAGTAAATAAGCTTATTGTTTCCAGCGAACGAACCCTTATGCGAAAAAAATGGGCAATTTTTTGGTCGCAAACCTTTTCGCGAAAATAAATAAGCGAAATTTTGCGAAAACTTAGTAAAACCATGAACAATTAATTGCTCAGAAGAACTTGTGGAATTCTCTGCTTTGATAGCTCAATATTTGAAGGTTTATTATGTCATATAATATATAATTTCTCTTCCTTTACTTTAATAAATGTTTGATGAAGAGAAGTGGATTTCACTAGCTATCATTTTAAGTTTCTGTCTGTCCGTCCACAATATACACGTTCAACCATTTTTCCCGCAAAATTTTTGCATTATTTTTACGCGAAATTTTCGCATTTTTTTGCTTGCGAACAAAATGCAAAAAAATATTTTTCGCGAAAAACGCGAAATTTTCGGGAAACAATTTTTTCTTTTAGCTGGAAACCCTAGTTATAACATACATTCACTGTAACTTTTGAATATGTATGTGGTAAGGACAGTTGCACTTTTATCCAATGAAAGAAGGGGGTTGAGTTTCAGAAAATATAAAAAACGACATCAATTAGTTATAAAGAAAACTTATTGGTTTTCTGTTATATTCAATCTAAAGAATTGAAAACAACCAAATTAGCATTTTTATGATACTTTTCGTTTTTAAAAAAACCTTAAGTTCTTTTTTGCGTTTCTTCACAAATTAAAAATGTCAGCTTTTATCGTTCTTTACCAGAACTTTGTCCATATCTATATTCTTTAAACCTGTTGAATTCATCTTTGTATTGTATAAAGAACCGAGTTAAGTCATGGGTGGGGCATTATTGGTCTTTGTTGAGTATCACCATGCTTTATTCCTTTTTGTATTGAAAAATATTATTTAGTTTTTCACCACGTATTTTTCTATATTTCAACCCTAAAATTTGTTTGATAAGTCAGTCTTATATCTTTAGATAAATGTATGAAATTAGGATTGTTTAAAAAGTTTAAGTTGGGAAAAGGTTGAATTTATTTTGTTATTCAAATTAAAACGATCCAAATGCAGAATTGAACATTTATTCTTTACAAATGTCAAAATTGTTAAAATCCTAAACACTTGTTTTTTTAAAACAGATTTGTCAAATTTTGACATGCAGAGAAATTTTATGCAAAATACGACCCAAGAAAGGAACCCTAAAAAGAATTTTGTACAATTATCTATTTTTTCCTTTTCTGCTTTTAGGATAAAAATATTGCAAGTAAAAAAAAATCTAATTTTAACAGCATACAGTTTTGAAAATATTCCTAGTTTTATTAAATGATTTTAAAAAAAAACGATTGAAGACGATTAACCACTCTAACCTTGTATCATCCTTCCATGTACATGCAGTACTGCAGTTCCCTTGTACATTCAGTACTGCACTTCCCTTGTACATGAGCACTGCAGTTCCCTTGTACATGCAGTACTGCAGTTCCCTGTACATGCAGTGTACCGCAGTTCCCTTGTACATGCAGTACTGCAGTTCCCTTGTACATCCAGTACTGCAGTTCCCTTGTACATTCAGTACTGCAGTTCCCTTGTACATGCAGTACTGCAGTTCGCTTGTACATCCAGTACTGCAGTTCCCTTGTACATGCAGTACTGTAGTTCCCTTGTACATGCAGTACTTCAGTTTCTGTGAGGAATTTACCAGCATATTTACATTCCTCCTATAAACATGAGTATATTTAGGGTTTCCATTCGCAAAACTTTTGCGCAATTTTTTCGGAACGAAACGCAATATTTTTCTTTCTTTGCGCATCAATTTTGCGCGAAAAAACAACAATTTGCGCAATCATTCGCAAAAGTCATTTCGCGCAAAATTGCCCTATTCCGCTTTTGCGAAACTCAAGTTTTGCGCAATTCCGTAACAAGAGTTTTGCGCAAATCCGCAATTACCCCCTTTCTCCCCACTTCTTTCCCCCTCCATCTCCCTTACTCAATACTCATTCCAGATGTAACGCAGAACAATAGAGTAAGAGAGTTTAACTCCAATACAATACATAATATCCAATATACATTAGCCCCAACTAATTAATATCTCCTAAAATATTGACTCCAATGACTGGAACAGGGGGAAAATCTGGAATATTCTCTCTAAGATAAACTCCAGTAACTAACCGTTTCTAATCTAGTGTCTAGTTTATCAACATTTATCGAAGATGTTTGAACCCAGGCCTTGTATAGCTGATTGAAATCTATATATCCACCCCCCGGCCCCCAACCCAAACCCACTATCATTCCCCCCCCTACCTCTAGTGTAGACCCCCCGTGGTGTAAAGTTCAGGGTTAAAGTTCTACTACTACTTAGCTTCAACATATTCTGCGATAAAACCTGACTGGACTTAGGTGACGGGCATCGACGTTGGTTTTTTTTAATTCTCTATTCAAACCACAGAATAGAGATCATAAGATATGATCTGTATAATAAAACAAGACATTTATATTTATATGTTGCGTATAGCCGGCCAAATGGCTGGACCGATTAGGCTGAAATTTTTTTGTGGACACTCATGGGTAGCCTGGGAGTGTCTTAGGCAAAAAAATCGATTTTTTTTCAAATTTTTTTTTTCCACATTTATTTTTAGTTTAACGGGAAACGCCGGAACCGTCAGCTATGAATATACTATGATATAGATAATATAATACGTATTCTCTTTGATTCAAACATAAAGAATTTTATAAATTTAATTTTCCCATTTTTCTCAAATCAGACAAAAAACCCTTAGAAAATTGACATTTATATAACACGAATTATAGTATAGAGATACACCGTCATTTCAGGATCACATCCAAATATTTTAAGGCCATCTCTTTAAATAAACCTAAACGCCCAACCCCCCCGGCCCCTCAGGCATCTTAGTGCTAAATAAAGTTTAAAGTTTATCTGCTTATATAAAGCCAAACCTATAAACGTAATACAAATTTATAATAACTATTTATAACACTGTTATTTTGGTTCGCAGTGTTTTAAAGTTTTAGGACAGAAATTTTGTCTTTATTGAGAACCTTCGAGATATTGAGAAAATTTAAGTCCAAAAACTTTATAGCACGTCGTGCCAAAATAATAGTGTTATAGATAATTTTATGAAACGTTTGTGTCTTATTTCAATGGCTCTTTTAAATCAAATAAGCTTTAAACAAAGCAGAAGTCAAAATATAAAGTTGATTTCAATTTTATTTTCATTGTAATTGAAAAAAAAACATTTTGGAAATATCCTAAATTTTTTTGAGAAAATCCGGGAACCAATCAAAACATTATAGCACACGTGCTATAATGTACATCTAATTTTATAGCACGATTACTTCATGACACGTTCATTATGGAATTCACGATGAAGTGAGTAAGAATGATAAAGTAGGCAATAGTTTCATAAAAATTCTTTATTGTATAATACTTTCTTCTTATCTGTGTTCCTAATGTCCAGGTTATTTGATTTAATAGTCTAGACAATAAGGTCAGATTGACATATTGAGTCACACTTTGTACTTGAAGGCTTCAAAAATAATCATTATCGATTAGAATATTGACATTGTTTTGGTCTAAAAAGACCTTAATCAGTTGATATAAGAACCCTGTTGTCACGAAAATAGCATGACACATGTATTATATTTTTAATCCATTTTTAAAGATTATCAAGTATGCCCCTCTTTTAGGTTTGATTTGCTATATCTTAGATTGTTTTGAGTTACCCAATTACGCAGCTTCTACCAATTTCAATAAAAAGATATTTGTTTTAATCCATTAAATTTCAAGTATGGAAAGACGTACTATGGGAAACCCCTTTTCAACGGAGAAGCCCACAGATTGCAGGACCCCAGGCCCAAACTTTTATGGGAAACCCAAAGATGTTCAGCAAAATTGGTCTGTTGGCACTGCACAATGTATGTGTTTCATGTTTATTGGACTATTTAAAATCATAAATTGAATCTTAAAGTCGTCTTCCTATTCCAGTGTATTTTGGTTCTCAGTAGGTAACAAAAACAAACCAATTGAATATTTCTAAGACTCTGATTGTTGTCGGAGAGAAACAAGATTCTCAATAATGAACAGATAGACAACGGAATAACCCTCAAATCAAAACCGACAATGCAGAAAACTCTTTATTTCCTAAAAAAATGAAATGTATAATGATAAATAAATTATTACAATGGTTTACGAATTTTATAATGAAAAGATTCTTACGATCTATTTAAGGATCTGTAGGTTAAAACCGTCGGGGAGTTCTAAGACGTTTTTTGTACATTAAAACTTCTGAAAAGAATGACAATTAATTGTTAACGAAAGTCACTAATTCTTTATATGAAAATATTCTTTGCTTGACTTTTGAAATGGGTTCACAATAATAAAAGTGTTTACACTCCGTTGTCGGAGAACAAAGAGAAGCGGGGCTAAAATTGTTTGGTTTGGTGTCTCCGAGAGGTGATTTTAGGTTAAAGACGACATTACATGGATGGGCGGGGGGGTCTTATAGTTAATGGTTGACACTGATATATCTCCTTTTTAAAAAAAGGATTGGGCATTTACAAGTTGGAATAGTGACATGGCAACAACCTCCCCCCTCCCCCCTCTACAAAATAGTCCAACTGGGATAGGGTTAACATATTGTACATATTAGTTACAAATATCTAAATAACAGTTAAAACTTATAATCTATTCTCTTTGGTTAAAACTTATTAAGCTTTCGTTGCGTGTTAAAACAAATATTCAATTACTCAACATTTAAGTTATACATTTATTTAAACCCTTGAACCTTTGCATGAATTCATATACTGGTGTTGCATGGTTACGTAAAGTACAAAATGACATAAGAGAAGCTGATAAAATAAAACTTTAACATCTTAAAGTACAAATTTTATTTGACAGAACCAAAAGTATTTGTTTCAGAGTATTTTTTTTGCATTGAAGTAGCAAAGGCGACATTTCAATCAATTGTTTGATGACTATAGACAAGGATTTAAGGTACTGAACAAGTAATTTCAAATGACTCTTTGTTTTTAAAAGTGTTATGTCTGATTTGCAATGGTACCCTTTGTGAGATCGAGAATGTTTAAATTATGTTTATTTATCTCTTAGAAAATCCTTTTTTTAAATTTCGGTTTCTTTGTAAGCTAATTTAGGCAGTTCTGCTTCAGTAATAATGAATGAAGTTATGAGAATTAAACACTATTAAGCTAGACACACTATAATGTCTTCCACATTATTGTTCAGTAAAAGTTTTAAAGAGTACCATTGTAATTCAAGCATGCCCCTCCATGGTATACAATTTTTATAGTATTTTAATCCACAAATAATATGAAATAAATGTTTGTGAAAATATTCCCCAAACAAAACAAAAAGTTTTGTTAAATTTACGATTGGTCTAATACACTAGACAGTAGAGAACTAATTTTGTTCTGGATATGCAAGCCCCTTCTCATACACAATAGGTTAATTGTCTAATTTAGAGGTATAATAACAAGAACAGGGAGTCCCAAAAATATTTAATGAATATAAATAAATTACAACTTAAGAAAGTTGGTCAACCATTTGAGAGACAAATAACCCGCAAATTGGGAAATTTTGGGGTTTTGTGTTTTGATTAATTTTGAGACGCCCTGTAATTGCCTGACTTTGGCCTAGGTCGGACACTAAATATTAATACTCTGCTCGACTGCCTAGCTAATCATATGCTTGAGTTAAAAATGAATATAATGTTAAATGAATTACTTATAGCTTCAATTACATCCGTCTAGCTTCAAACACATTTCTTGTAGCTTCAAATTTTTTTTCTGGCTTCATATACATTTCTAATAGCTTTAGATACATTTCTTCTAGCTTCAAATACATTTCTTCTAGTTTCATATACATTTCTTTAAGCTTCAAATACATTTCTTCTAGCTTTAGATACATTTAGATACATTAAGCTTCAAATACATTTCTTCTAGCTTTAGATACATTTCTTCTAGCTTCAAATACATATCTTCTAGCTATAGATACATTTAGATACATTAAGCTTCAAATACATTTCTTCTAGCTTCATAAATATTTCTTCTATCTCAAGATACATTTCTTCTAGCTTCATGACTTTTCTTCTAGCTTTAGATACGTTTCTCCTAGCTTTAGATACATTTAGATACTTTAAGCTTCAAATACATTTCTTCTCTCTGAAGATACATTTCTTCTAGCTTCAAATACATTTCTTCTAGCTTCAGATACGTTTCTTCTAGCTTTAGATACATTTCTTCTAGCTTCATATACATTTCTTTAAGCTATAAATACATTTTTTTCTATCTTCATACACATTTCTTTAAGCTTCATATACATTTCTTTAAGCTTCAAACAAATTTTTTTCTAGCTTTAGATACATTTCTTCTAGCTTCATATCCATTTCTTCTAGCTTCATATACATTTCTTTAAGCTTCAAATACATTTCTTCTAGCTTTAGATACATTTCTTCTAGCTTTAAATACATTTCTTCTAGCTTTAGATACATTTCTTCTAGCTTCATATACATTTCTTCTAGCTTCAAATACATTTCTTTAAGCTTCAAATAAATTTCTTTAAACTTCAAATACATTTAGATACATTAAGCTTCAAATACATTTCTTCTCTCTTAAGATACATTTCTTCTAGCTTCAAATACATTTCTTCTAGCTTCATATACATTTCTTCTAGCTTCAAATACATTTCTTCTAGCTTTAGATACATTTCTTCTAGCTTCAAATACATTTCTTCTAGCTTAATAACCATTTCTTTTAGCTTTAGATACATTTCTTCTAGCTTAATATACATTTCTTCTAGCTTAATGTAAATTTCTTCTAGTTTCTAATACATTTCTTCTAGTTTCAAATAGATTTCTTCTAGCTTTAGATACATTTCTTCTAGCTTCAAATACATTTCTTCTAGCTTCAAATACATTTCTTTTAGCTTTAGATACATTTCTTCTAGTTTCTTATACATTTCTTCTAGCTTCAAATAAATTTCTTTAAGCTTCAAATACATTTCTTCCAGCTTTAGATACATTGCTTCTAGCTTCAAATACATGACATTTAGTCTCATATGAATTTTTTAAGCTTCAAATACATGTCTTCTGGCTTATAATAAATTTCTTCTAGCTTAATATACATTTCTTTAAGCTTTAAATACATTTTTTCTAGCTTTAAATACCATATGTCTTCTAGCTGTATGACTCAAGCACTGTCTGCCTGATGTATTGATAAATACAGTTATGAAGCATGATATTATTACTTGTCATGTAGATCATGCCTATTATCATAACAACATAGATAAATAATGAGGTCAATGATGATCTCATGTCTTGTCTTGTGCAAAGAAAACGAGGGGGGGGGGACGAGGTTCTTGTCATGTGGATTAAGAAGGAGAGACTAAGGGGAGGGATTTTTAACTATTTAGAGAATAATACAGTTTAATATTTCCTTCATAAAATCTAAATTTGCTGAATAACGTTGCGCCGACCTTTGCTAATAAACAGGCGTTGAGGTTTATTTCAGAACGCCTTAGGACTGATTAACATTCTTATTTATGTTTTGAATCTTGTAAAAATTACATTCTACAGATTAATAACATCACTCTATCAAAAGTTTTATTATCATTATTATTTAACTTGTTGGTTGGTTTGTCTAAAATTTGTTGGTTTCTTTGTTTGTATTAAATAAATGCAAGACGGCTGAACCAATTGGGCCCACATTTTTTTCTGGTATCACATACTCCCAGGGAAGATTTATAAACGGTTGTAATTAAAATAATTATTTTTAACCATTTTGGAAATTCATCATTTCTCAGAAAATCCGCGAAATTATTAAATTTATAATGAACAAAAAATGGCGGCTTGAAAAGCAACAACAACTGTGCTTAAAAACGGGCGCGGAATGCTTTTATAGTTTAATTAAAAATGACTAAAACGACGTGAGAGGGAGAAGGTGTGATACAGAATAATGGGAGGAGGGGGGGGGGGAGGAATGCATGAGTATTACAAGACATCTTTATTCAGCAAATCATTTTTCTAGTTTGCTTTACAGATGGATTACATTTAAAAAGTTCAGAGTGCATATTGAACGAATTAGACGAAAACCTACAGAGTGTCAAACTAAACACGGTAATTCTAAAACATGTACCTAACCTTCATCGTTGTATTTATCAATACAATGAAGACGACGTTCGATTCTTTTCTTCTAAGCTTTCAAACAGCATGGAAGAGACTGTCCATTAACAGTTTTTCTTTGGTCACAATTGTACACTTGTAATTTTAAAAAAGCTTGTTTTAAATAAAAACTTAAATCGTTAAGTTGTCTTCATTATATTCGTATAAGTACCGAAGACTGGATGTAGTTGGGAACTCCAGTGATCTCCACTTTACGCATATTTAAGAATTAATTCAATTCCTCTATGATATCCCTGTGGTGTCGCACCGCGTGTAAGTTGCAATGATATTAAAAAAGCAGGAATTAAAAGTGCCCACATTGGATATCGAGATAAAGCATTGCAGAATAAACGATAATCAACTCAAAGGTCCTTATAATTCATAAAAACTTTTTTTTCTGTTTCTTTAAACTTAAACAAAATACACAATATCAACTTCGGATAAAGTAGTTTTAAGAATATTCAGTACGGGACACCCTGCACATACCAGGAACCTAACACCATTCTGTGTATATTTCTTCAAAGTATCCATGTTTACTGTACTGAAATGTACTGTACTGCATTGTTTACATTAATCCCACACAAGTCAAAGTATAAAATGAGAGTTTTTAAAGAAACTGAGTTTTTGCAATAAAATCCAAATTTTCCAATCAACGTGTATCTTTGCAACCTGATGATGTAAACCTTTGATGTTTCAAAATGATACTTTTTAATCTAACAGAAAGAAATAGGGATAGAATTAGAGTTTGTGCCCAATAAATAATTTTCTTTATTTCATAAAGATAAATTTTCCCGAAATCCATTTCATAAAAGTTTTGTGTTAACTTGACTAATACAAGCGCTGGAATTCTTTGTATTTGCATAGCAAGATAAAAAGTGTATGGGTGTTAAATAATTAGATAATAACAATGAAATTTAACTACACCCCTGCCCCCCCCCCCTCATTTTCAGGAGTCACCTCAGCTTTTTCAAATCGTTGAAATCATTAAAAGTTGTTTTATTGAAATCACGAACAAAACAAATTTTACTGTAATTTTATCCTTTTCTTTTATTTATTACAAAGCAAATTAATAATTTCATTGTTATCCAATGCCTCAACATATAAATTTTTTATTGATGTAACATAAATTTATTTTTTGTTACGAGCTCTGATTTTTTGTTCTCTATATCTTTCAAACACGATATTTTAAACTATGAATTCTGTTAGATTAAAAAATTCTAAGTTTGAAATATCACGATCAGATTGCAAAGATGTAGGGATTAAGATATTTGTATTTGTTGGTTCAAAAACTGTAAATTTATTGTATCCTGCTCTATACATATTTTAAAAGCATTATGAGAGCGTTTATATCTCTAGATTGACCTTTATATATACCATCATAACAGTAGAGACTGCTAATGAAATAATAGGTATAGGTTTTAAGGAAGTGGAGAAAAGATTCTTACGATCTATTTANTAAAGGGAAGGAGGGGGGGGGAGTTGCGTCCTGAGGCGTATACATCTATAAAACTGATTACCCCCCACTGACCTCTCCATTAATTAGTGCAAGGTAAGTTGCAATGATATGAATTAAATTATTTAACCTTTTAAACCGGCCAACAAATCATTCCTTTTGTTCACTTGAAACTCTTTATTTATTACTTTATATATGTGATTAACTCTGAAAAGGTTGGGGGGGACATTCCCCCTCCCCTTATGCAATCTTATTGGTGTAACTTAATCACCCTATTTTAACCCTAAACATGCTAAAGGGGGGCGTTTGGCGCCCCCCTGTAGTTTTTTTTGTCCTAACACTCTCATTTTGACACTATCACCGTAAAATTATGTGACTTTTAATGAATAGTAAGTTAAGGATTTGTTGTCAAAAAAATAATTTTTTTAAATTTATAGGGTAGGGGTACAAGGCGGAAAGAACCGCGGTCTGAGAAAAAAATCTAAAATAACTTTTTGTGACTAAAGCTACAGATCTAAAAACTATATTTTTAAAAAGCCCTTGAAAAATGCATGTAGAAACATGTGTTACACTTTGATATTTGTTCAAAACAAAAATTTGTTTTCTCAATGAGCTGTAATTTGGGATATGAACATGCATTTCAACCCTTTACCTATTCTCTTTTTTCAAGGGGGGGGGCAAACGACCCCCACCCCTGCGGCTATTCATAAATACAGACCCCCCAGCCTTTATAAGGTTGAAGCATGTACCAGGATATTTGTAGGAATTTACATGTTCAAAGCATATAAATATAGATATATCGCCCCTTCCCCTCCCCCCCCCAGAAAATTTGTGGCAATTCATATATTAAATATTCCAAGTTTAACATTATCATTCAGATTTTTATTTGCTTTTTTTGTTACCTTTATACTTATCTTATACTTATCTTATACTTATCTTATACTTATCTTATACTTATATCTTAAACTTAATCTCTCTCTCTCTCCCTCTCTCTCTACATATGATGGGCGGATTTTTGGTAATGTCAATTTGGTAATGACAATTTGGTAATTACAATTTGGTAATGACAATTTGGTAAGGTGACAATTTGGTAACGACAATTTGGTAATGACAATTTGGTAAGCTCACAAAAGTGACAATTTGGTAATGACAAATTGGTAACAACAAAAAAGTGACAATTTGGTAATAAAAATTTGGTAACGTCATAAAAGTGACAATTTGGTAAACGAAATAAAAGTGACATTATGTAAAATTGTTTAATTTTTAGTAAAGATAATTGATTCTAGGAATCTTTTATTTCTGCACAAAAGAAATGCGCCAAAAATAATTGTAAAATTCGCAATATTTTCTAAAAACCACGTTTAAACCTGTACTTGTGTCATATACTGCAAGAAGAGGAGACTTGGATCATGAATTACTTATTCATCACCCCTTCTAGGGGTGGCAAATGTTACAAGATTCAGAAGGATTCAAATACTACAACAAGAACGGACTTTATGTATGTCAATGTTGGGAAGTTATTAATGTTACTTTTTATATGTAGTTACCAAACTGTCCCTTTTATAATCAACATTTAACATTTAAGAGGATGCAGTGCTTGGACCCTAGCCCATCCTAGCAGCAGCGCTCGGCCCAGAAATTGTCTTAACCTAAATCTATACCCTAAATAATGTGAGAAACAGCTAATTTTAAAAAATTAAATTGAATTAAATTTAACTTTTATCAATAAATTGTCACTTTTTTGTAGTTACCAAAATGTTATTACCAAATTAAGTCACTTTTTTGTAGTTACCATATTGTCAATACCAAATTGTTTCTTTTTTGTAGTTACCAATTTGTCATTACCAAATTGTCATTACCAAATTGTCGTTACCAAATTGTCGCCTTACCAAATTGTCATTACCAAATTGTCATTACCAAATTGTCATTACCAAATTGTCATTACCAAATTGGCATTACATTCATCTCTATGATTAAACTATTGTATTTCGTGTAAATGTTAAATATGTGACTGAATGTTATATTTTCAATTATCAATTGTTCTGCAGCCTTGTTTATGTATTTTCTTAAACCCAATTAAATTTTTTTTAAATGCGCAATTGACTTATGAAAAATTCGCAATCATGCTGCTGATGAAAGTCAAGCATGATAAACAATAGAAAATATTCATAACAAAACTAACGTTTATATAAGTTTTTCCCTAACATAAAAATGCAAGTGAGATAAAGTTAAAACGTGATTAAAATAAAGCAAACAAAAAATCTTCACATTAAATGATTTTGTACTATGGAAGTCTGCTTGGAAAATCGGTAAATAAAGGGTGTCCCACGAAACATGACAGTTGGTGAATAGTTTTGAATGTCGTCTTCCACATACTGTATTAGATATTAAAGACTTTTTGCAGTTTATTTCTTAAACACGTTTAACTCTTATATATTTTACTGTGAAATCAATTTTACTATAATGTAACTGTCATTTGATAAATGTCATTAGTCTCTTTGGTATCAAACAACTAATCAAATCATGGAAGAAGACATTTTAAACTATTGACAAGAAATGATATTTCTTTGACATGCAAAAAGAATCTTTTACAGGAATTATTTACAAGGACTGTAAGCGTAGTTTTTAAGTTACCTCTCTATGGAAAGATAACAATGCCCGATTCACAACAAGTACCCTTATCTTTGTCCGATCAATTTTATGAAATAGATTTTTGATTTCAAAAAAGATGATGTTCAATTTTGGGTTCTGTACAAAATTGACTTGGGCATTTCTGCAGCAGGAAAGCACGTAGGACATATTAGAATTAAACTCTTAAATTATGCTTACAGCCCTCAAAAAAAGGATTAAAACAATTGTAAAAAGTGTTTCAAACAAAAAGAATGTTTTTTAAAACTTTTAACATATTTCTTTTTTTCAGAGATTTTTTAAAATGCTCATTAGACACATAGACCCAATATATTAAACAAGTGTTACAGCTGTTGCAAACTAGACAAAAGACGAGAACACCAAATTTCTTTGGTTACATATTAAAATTAAAAACATTTTTGTGATTCTCAGTAACTTTTGAACAAGAAGTTATGTTTAAAACATATAAAATTTTTGACATGACATGCGTCCTATGTATTTATATTTTAAAAAGTTTGTTCTTAAGTGAAGGGTTGAACATGTCAAAGTTTTAGCCTGTAGAAATGGGGAAAATAGGCTACAATTAAGTTAGTTTTCGTAATATTGAGCACTTTATACATTATACATCCTTAATACATACACATTTTGTACACAGTAGAAACATCATGAAATTTTCTAATTATGATGCTTTCCTAAGATATTTACATAAAATTAAAAGCTAATCAGACTTCTATATAAATAGCAGATAACAAGAATCTAAAGTAGTTAAATGTGAATAAGCAATGAGGCTTCTTATCCTATCCGCTTTTTTATCTATAACTGCAGGCCTTCATGAAGGTTCCTTTATCCCTCCGTATCAAGAGGTATGAACTTTTTAAATTGTACATTTTAGAAATTTGCTTTAAGTATGACCCTTCTCTGTGTATGAAAAACTATCAGGAGTTTTACACGTTTGGCCATGTAGATGATTTGTTTAAATACTGTATTCAATCTTTGCATAATATGGTAATTCATTAAAAATTCATAAACAGCTTTCTTTTTCAATTTGAGACATAGTGTAAAGTTTATACTTTAGGGCGAACCATTAGCAATGTCGGTGGTATCTCTTGATCCAGCAGACTTTCGTGGAGAAGATGTCTACAGGATAGAGTTTGATCTGCTCATCAAGAGCGGGGACATTGAGCCTGGTATGATCCATAGATCTTTAGCAGATTTTCAGAAGTTTGATGACATGCTTCACTCGAGGTTCATCACCTTTGAGAATGTTAGTGATGTTGTCTTCCCTGAAAATCCAGATATAGCCACATTAAATGATTATCTACAAACTGCTATTGCTCACCAAGAAGTATTTGAATCAACTGAGCTTCAGGATTTTTTGGGAATTAACTGGTCTGGATTTGATCTTAAGTTTATGGAATCTCTCCCCGAGTTTATGAAAATTGTCATCCCACAACTTTACAGAGCTCCTGAATTTGCTCCTGAGCCTCCAATTTTCTCGTGTGAAGAAGATTCTATTACAGCTCCAGAAACCCCATTTGAGGTTTACACATACTTGCAAGCATTCAGAGCAAGAGGAAACCTAGAAGAGTATCTAACTTTTTTCAACACATTTGTGAGTACTTATCCTGCATTTGCTGGATTAGAAGATGATTCAGATGTTCAACCTGCCGGAGTGTCTGTTAACATTCCTTCCCATTTCAACCAGACGTATGTACACTTTTTACCTGGGGGTTACCTTAATGGACACACTGTTAGAATCTCTTACTTGGGAAGATCAAAGTTTAACTTCCTCCATGAGGATCTATTGACCGAATGGCTTATCAAGCTGCATGGAGATAAGAAGCCCAAGAGAATTTTAGACATTGGAACAGGACCTGGGTTTTCAGCATTTGTTCTAGCCAAGCTCTTCCCTGATGCAGAGGTTATTGCTGTTGATCTTGCGGCTCCGTACATCAGAATGGCAAGACAATGGCAGTCCTTGAGAAATATGAGTAACATTGAGTTTTATCATGCTAATGCGGAAGACCTATCCTGGCTGGAATCTGAATCTTTTGACTTTATCAACTATGCCTATGTACTGCATGAAATGCCAGCAGAGAACGCCCTCAGAATCATTTCAGAAATGTACCGGCTCACAGCTCCCGGAGGAACCATGAATGGATTTGAGGTTCCTTACCCTGATAACATTGTTGAGAGACTTGCTCTAGTAGAGTTCAATACCTGGGGACATGTCTGGGATGCCCCTGGAGAAAAAGGACCTGAACCCTACATGATGGAGTATGAATTTGGTACCATGATCACACAAGCACTGGATGCTGTTGGATACAAAGATATAGAAATTGTTGAGTACTCCTACTTTGAGAGTGTTTTCATTGCTACCAAGAACTAGAAAAAAAATGATTTGGAGTGGGTAAATGAAGTTTCCTTCTGATAAATAATTGTTACAAATATTTATAGTGCATGTCATTGTATCAATGTAACATATGTCTTTATTTAATAAATTTTATAGAACATATTGGAATTTTATTTTTTCCCCAAGTGATTGAAATGTAAAAGAAAAAGTACTCTAACTCTCTATTGGATGTCATGTATATAATATTTTTTCCAATTTTCAATTTATGTTTGTGGCAAAACTCAATTTCTTACCATTTTAAAACCTCTTTTTTATATGATGAATCACTTTTTGACACTATCAATTAGAAAGGAATTGAATCTTGACAAAAAACTCGGATTTTTCAAGCCCTAGCTTTAATTTGTTGCAAAAACTCAATTTATTTAGGTTCCATCCTGAAACGTGTAATTTTCACAAATTACATTACAATTCATATAAGGGTTTACATTAAAAAACATTTGCGCGCAAATCTTTATTGCACTTTTTTAGCTCTCCCCATCCTTATCTAACCTCCCTCTTAAATCACCCCTGCTTCCCTTTTCCAACGAAATATGTTATTAATGGACATTTAAAAGGTGCATACTCGCCACCTATTAAACATAAACTGTTGACTCACCGTGATACTTGTCTGATAAAGGAGATTCTAACCTAAACTTTTATTGATCAATAAATAGAGAAAATACATTTCCAATTTCGAAAACGGTTTCTCCTATTCTTGGAAGATCTAACATTCTTTATCTAAAAAATATTATTAAATTTACTGTTTCTCCTTCTAAATGCATAATTTTTCCTGCAAATTCACAGTAGTGCAAATTGCAGAATTTAATGCACTAGGTAAACCAATAAAATACAAATAGAGCTAGGCACATTCCGACTTTTTTTAGATCTTTGTTAATGATTTGTAGTTAAAAATGTTAAATCTTTTATTTCAGGTAGCTATTCCTTTTTTACATAAAAACAGAACGTTTGTTTTGCGTATAACAGTATTTTTCATTTTTTAAGCTATAATTCCGTTTATTAATTATCAGACATACAGCATAAAATATAAACTTTATTGCATATATATAGATTAACAAAAGGATTGAAAGAAGTTTGAACATACCCAGCCCTAGTTTTAGTGTACCGTAATAAATTGTCTTTGAAAAGTATTAAGAAAGTAAAGCAGTCAAGGATCTCAACAATACATATATCTGAAGATAGGTATAGTTTCCAACGTAATATATTATTCACTTCCGCAAAATTACGTTCAGTTACGGGAAATAATTTTCATTTTGTGTAATTTTGCAGGATTTTGCGCAATTTGCGAATCTTCATTTTTTTGAAATTACAGCGTAATTTTGCCTAATTTTTACAAAGTAGTTTTGCAAAATTTTGTAATGATTATGCGTACAGCTCAATTTTAGGTAGTTCTTCAAGGTAATTTTGGAAAATTTTGTAATAATTACACGTTATTAGCAAAACTTTTATTTCGCGAAATTATGCCATAATTTTGCGTAATTTCTACAAGTTGATAATGCAAAATGTTGTAATAATTTTGCGCAATTAGCAAAACTTCAATTTTGCAAAATTACACCAATTCAGCACGTAATTTCTACAAATTAATTTTGCAAAATTTTGCAATAACTACACCTAATTAACGAAACTTCCATTTAAAAGTATTTAAATTATCCAATCAGATTGGACATTGTTGTAATTGCATATCCTTACACTAGACTGTATGTCATGTAAGTAATTAACACATATTTTCCTGTAATGCAATGTAACTAGGCTTTTAGGGCGCTTTGCGCCCGAATTCTATTTCAATTGTGAACATTTTGTTTTTGTATACATTGTAAAATAAAAACAAACAAATATTCGTGGATTTTATAAAAAAAATTTCATTGATTTTCAAAATTTTCAAAAATCGATTTTTCTTAAAGGCCAATTTTTGAAAATTCAATCATACATAAACTTTCCCTGGGGTCACGCGAGGTCCCACAAAACTTTGAGTCCGATCGGTTCAGCTGTTTGACCTTTATTTGGATACAAACAAACACCCAAACAAACGGACAGACAAACAAGTAAAGTATATAAGGTTGTAAAATGTAGGCTGCCATGACAAACTTCAGAAATCAAATCCCTGAAATTCAAACTCCGAAATTCAAACTCTTGAAATTTAATCTCCTGAAACAAACTCATAAAATTCAAACTCCTGAAAAAAAAATCCTTAAATTCAAACTACTGAAATTCAGACTCCTGAGAGACAAACTCCTGAAATTCGAAACTTCTGAAATTCCACTTTTTTGAAAAACAAACTTCTGCAATTCAACATCCTGCAAGACAACCTTATGACAAAACTAACTTCTGAAAGACAAAATCCTGAGAATCAAATTCCTAAAAGACAAACTTATTACGAGACTAACTCCTGAAATTCAAACTCCTGAAATTCAACCTCCTGAAAGACAAACTTATGATGAGACTAAATCCTGAAATTCAAACTCTTGAAAGACAAACTTATGACGAGACTAAATCCTGAAATTCAAACTCCTGAAAGACAAATTCATGACAAGAGTAACTCATAAAATTCAAATTCCTGAAATTCAAACTCCTGAAAGATAAACTCCTTGAATTCAAAATTATGATATTCAAACTCCTGAAAGATAAACTCCTGAAATTGATACAATCCTGAAAGACAAACTCCTGAAATTCAAACCTCAGAAAGACAAACTCCTGAAAAAATAAAATTTTCTCAGAATAAAATGTGATAAAATTCATAAACTTTATGAGAAAAACTCCGAAAATTTTTTAGTGAAATTTCTCAAACTTTATTTCTGAACATGCTTCAAGCAGAAAAAGTATTACAATGCCCGTGGCTCATCTGTCCTGCTTATTAATCAGAATAACTTTACTTACACCTAGGGATGTTAACGTTTTAATTTTTTAAGAAAAATGATTGTTTCCTTATGAAAACGACGACGAAAAATCGAAAACTAAACAATCGTTTTTAAAAACGATCGTTCTTTCAAAAAGAACAATGTAAGGATCAAGTTGTTACAAATGATGAGGAGAATGTTGATTAATCTTGATTAATCCACGCTGCTAAACAGGGAATCCCTCTGAAGGATCTGGGTCATATATAGAACTCTGTCCACGACACTGAAGAGGGAATCCCTTTGAAGGGTCATAGTACTCCATCGACGCTGCTAAAAAGGGAATCCCTCTGAAGGGTCATAGAACTCTGTCCCAGCTGCTAAACAAGGAATCCTTCTGAAGGGTCATAGTATTCCGTCCACGCTGCTAAACAGGGAATCCCTCTGAAGGGTCATAGAACTCTGTCCAAACTGCTAAACAGGAAATCCCTTTGAAGGGTCATAGAACTCTGTCCATGCTGCTAAACAGGGAATCCCTTTGAAGGGTCATAGAAATCCGTCCACACTGCTAAACAGGAAATCCCTTTGATGGGTCATAGAACTCCGTCCACGATGCTAAACAGGAAATCCCTCCGAAGGGTCTGGGTCATAGAACTCTGTCCCAGCTGCTAAACAGGGAATCCCATTGAAGGGTCATAGAACTCCGTCCACGATGTTAAATAGGAAATCCCTCTTAAGGGTCATAGAAGTCTGTCCACGCTGCTAAACAGGAAATCCCTTTGAAGGTCAAAGAACTCTGTCCACGCTGCTAAACAGGGAATCCCTTTGAAGGGTCTTGGTCATAGAACTCTTGCCATTCGCTGCTAAACAGGGAATCTCTCTGAAGGGTCATAGAACTCTGTCCCAGCTGCTAAACAGGGAATCCCTCTGAAGGGTCTGGGTCATATATAAAACTCTGTCCACGCTGCTAAACAGGGAATCCATTTGAAGGGTCATAGAACTCCGTCCACGCTGCTAAAGAGGGAATCCCTCTAAGGGTCATAGAACTCTGTCCCAGCTGCTAAACAGGGAATCCCTTTGAAGGGTCATAGAACTCCGTCCATGCTGCTAAAGAGGGAATCCCTTTGAAGGGTCATAGAACTCCGTTCACATTGCTAAACAGGAAATCCCTTTGAAGGGTCATATAACTCCGTCCACGCTGCTAAAGAGGGAATCCCTTTAAAGGGTCATAGAACTCCGTTCACGCTGCTTTACAGAGAATTCCTTTAAAGGATCATAGAAAACTCTACATAAAGTTATTGTGAATGCCTGTAAAAACAAAACTATCTAGGTGTAAATGCGCGACTTAAGCTGGGCAGGTTCATGTTATAGTAAACAGGTATACTTTCTATATTTTATAAAGTGAATCACACTCAAAAATATCTAACGTAGATAACATAGAATGGATAGGTAAACTACAAGAAAAGTATCCAAACATATATAAACCTAGAAAATTTAACTATTTGATCATTAAATTCACATTTATATTACACTAGCTGAAAGGCTCAGCGTTGGCCGTGGAAAAAAATTTTGAACAAAAAAATATTGGGGAAAAATAATTTCGATTTTTTTAGCCTATGACACCCCTCGGCCATCCATGTGTCCACAAAAAATTTCAGTCCAATTCGGTCCAGCCGTTTGGCCGGCTATACCCAACATATATATTCATCATTTATATTTGTCTAAAGCAAAATTACAATAAATAATATAAAAGTTTACAGACTAATACTCTTTTCTCTGGATATCGCATTTTATAATTGACAGGGTTCGCCAAAAAACAGGTGCAATACAAGACTTTTAGCATGAGTATAGTTAGTTATTCAGAGGTGGTTTTCAGAAATTGAGTTTATTGGTCCCAGTCTAGTGTTTTTCGTTTTCTAAAAATGTGGTATTTTAGAAGTACATTTATTGCTTCTGTTTATAGATACATGATAAATACGAGTGTGTAAAAGGAGAGGAAGTTGAGAAGGTCTTCTCCGGTTCCAGGGTCCGACACAACTGATTAGCGGATTTCATAATCCTCTTTCAGGGATTTCATATCCTCTACAGAAGTCCCCCCTAAGTCTCGAGTACAGAGAGAGTCGAGACTGATAATTAGCTCCTTGTAAGTGTGTACGGAAAAGGAGTAGAAGGAGTTCGGGTGATGATATTATTCACAACTAGTTGTTTGTGAATTTCTGATCTGCCCCCTCCCCACAAAAAAAAAAAAAATTTATTTAAACAAATTTTAACTACACCATTTATATATGTATTTATATCTTTGTGTGTGAATAAATCTTTATAATATAATAATATTCTGTTAGATTGATTAGTGTAAGTAACCACAGGGATCAATACCTTTTTACCACAGGGATCAATAAAAGTTATAGGCCACAGGGATAAATACCTTTTTACCACAGGGACCAATAAAAGTTATAGACCGCAGGGATCAATACCCTTTATACCACAGGGATCAATACCCTTTTTAACACAGGGATCAATACCCTTTTTAACACAGGGATCAATAAGAGTTATAGGCCGAAGGGATCAATACCCTTTATACCACAGGGATCAATAAAAGTTATAGGCCACAGGGATCAATACCCTTTATACCACAGGGATCAATACCCTTTATACCACAGGGATCAATACCTTTTTATCAAAGGGATCAATACAAGTTATAGGCCACAGGGATCAATACCTTTTTACCACAGGGATCAATAACCTGATACCCCTTATTCTATATACCACTTGGCAGGTTAAATTTATAGAAAGATTTGTATAAGGTAAATTTCTCTCTTCTACAGGGTGTCCCAATAAACATTGGAATTCAGTGACGAATTTGATATCGTCTGTTTAATTGTAATTCTTTGATTTAGTATAGTGATACCTACTGAGAAAGCTGTAATCTGTAAGAGTTTTGTCTGCTATGTTCCCATTTTGTTTGTTTATGTTTTGACTGCAAACGGTTGTACTTAGTAAAACAAGAAAATTACAGTATACAAACAGAGTAAACTTGTCCATCTTCACCGTTCATCTTGCGGAGACATTATAAACACATCTTTGCAGCCATTTACCGTTTTCATAAAATAAACTCTATCAGACATAATAATATTATGGCTTTTGAAATTAGGTATTACAGTGCTAATTCATAACAAAGACGATATCGAATTCGTCACTGAATTCCCTTTTTTTTTTGGGACACCCTGTATGTTAAAGGTTAGGCCGGGTATAGGGTAGGGCAGGGACGAAAATAAGGATTTTCTAGGCAAATGGGGGGGGGGGGGTAATTTTAACGTTAACAGTTGTTAACAAAGGGTTGTTGATAACGATCGTTAACAACCTTTAAAAGAGAATTTGGTCGGAAAATCCTCGATCAGAAAACATTCAGGTTTTATTTTTCTGTGTCTTGAGGCCTACTGTGATTCTTCTTCTTAGTTGCCTTTATAAGCTGCCAATCAATACTTTCAACTTACAGTTCAATATACACCCTCTCCCGGCAAGTACTAAAGGTATTATTATAAAAATAATAGCAAAGATTTAAAATTATTTTCTTATTCGCTGTATTCTTCAAGTAACTTTAACTTACCATTCTCTTCATCCTTCATTCTCTTTATCTTCCTATTCTTTTTATCCTCCTATTTTTTTTATCCTTTAACTCTCTTCATACTTTCATTTTCCTTATCCTCCCATTCTCTTTATTCTCCCATTCTCTTTATACGCCCATTCCCTTTATTCTCCCATTCTTTTTTATCCTCTCATTCTCTTTATCCTCCCATTCTCTCTATCCTCCCATTCTCTTTATCCTCTCATTCTCATCATCTTCTCATTCTCTTTATCCTCCCATTCCCTTTATCCTCGCATTCCCTTCATCCTCCCATTCTCTTTATCCTCCCATTCTCTTTATTCTCCTATTCTCTTTATACTCCCATTCTCTTTATTCTCCTATTCTCTTTATCCTCCCATTTCCTTTTTCCTCCCATTCTCTTTATCCTCCCATTCTCTTTATCCTCCCATTCTCTTTATTCTCCTATTCTCTTTATCCTCCCATTCTCTTTATCCTCCCATTCTCTTTATCCTCCCATTCTCATTATACTCCCAATCTCTTTTATTCTCCCATTCCCTTTATCCTCCCATTTTCTTTATCCTACCATTTTCTTTATCCTCCCATTCTCTTTATCCCTCCATTCTCTTTATCCTCCCATTCTCTTTACCCTCCCATTCTTTTTTATCCTCTCATTCTCTATATATTCCCATTCTCTTTATCTTCCCATTCTCATTATACTCCCATTCTCTTTTTTCCTCCCATTCCCTTTATCCTCCCATTCTCTTTATCCTCCCATACTCCTTATCTTCACGTTGACTTCTTTTTAATCCCCAATTTTCAAATTGATAATTTGTTTTGTATCTTCATTATCAATTTGTTTTTAAGGAAACCACAAGAATGATATATTCTGGATCCATCATTGTCTTCTTAAACCTCCTGATTCTCCTTCTTAATGTTGCGGGATTATTTGCACACGTACCTCCAACTTGTGGAACTACTTCGGGACAAACCTGTCCTTTTCCATTTAAGTTTAAGGGAAGAACGTACACCCATTGTACCACAAAAGATTCAGAAAGTGGAAGGCCATGGTGTGCAACCTATCTTACTTCTGATGGACAAGTGGTGCCGAACTACTGGGGAGACTGTAACTCTGCTTGTGCTATTTACTCATAGGCTGCAGGCTATGTATATTCTACAGTTGTTCCGTCACAGCAGGCTATGTTTCTACAGCAGATTTTAGACTTGCAAAGGAATTACTTTAAACATAAAAATTAAAATTTATGAATTTAATATATTTTTGAAGATTTTGTATTTCATATTCAAAGGATTATAAAATATCCCTTAAGTTAACTCCAGTTGTACACAAGAAAATACCGCATATTCTAGCCTTTAGGATAACTCCGTACTCTAATTATCTCTGGCTATGATTAAACCATGTAAACAATATATTTTTACACAATAAAAGTTATGAAGTTATGAACATATTCAAACATAAAACATAAAATTTATGAATTTAATATATTTTTGAAGGTAATTTGTATTTCATATTCAAAGGATCCTTAAATATCCCTTGTTTATAATTGATTAAACCATGTAAATAGGAGTTTTCTTTATTATTCAACGTTCTTCATTATACAAAAATCAATAAAAATTTATTTTTATTAGATTAGTTTTGAAGATTTGAAAGGTTTAACTTCATGGCTCCACATACTCAAAATTTATATGGAAACAGTTGATGAAATTGCCGTGAAACTGTTTTAATGGATAAAATGGATTCATTTTGCAAGGGGTTGTGTATTTCCATAATACTTCATTCATGAAAAAAATAGATTTATTTTATTTAAAAATGGATCAAAGATATTTTAAGCTTTGAGACAACCGTTATGACCTTGTCGACTGCTCTAATCTAATTTGATAGTTACATGCACTAAAAGTATATATTCATAAAAATATTACTAATGAACTTTCAGTCAAAACTAAATATTTAAGAAGAAACAAACTAGTTTAGAATATCTATGTAAGTCCTTTGATAACAGTTCTAAAGAAAATTCCAAGAGCTTTGTTATTGTTTTGAAAAAAAAACTAGTTTTTAACATTTAAGTAAAATGTGCACACAACCCTATCCCACTCCCCTTTATACTCAAATTGGGTAGGAGGACCGGAGGCGGAGGAGATTGTTTTCGACCGTCCACAAATATTGGCGTATGTTGTTTAATGTTCTAGAACTCATGAAATTTTCTCCATCAATAATAAGTTCAATTGACAGTCCTACCCTTTCTCCCGTTTTCACTAAAAAATTAAAATTTAAGAGGAGAGGGGGGAGGGTGGGGGGTGTTGGATGTGTAATTTGATTTGACCTCTTTTTTGAAGAACTATGAACCAAATCTTGTAACTAAATAATCAAATAATATCCCTTCAATTGAAATCCACAAAATAATGTACGGACAAATCAAGTTTTAAGATGGAGGGGGCCGGGGGGGGGTCTATATCCTACATTGAATCTATATAAGATATGCTCATTATAATAAACCAGCTTTGCATTGGACTCTGGATAGGAATTATCTATAAAGCATCAGCATACAGGGCGTCCCACAAAACATCAGCATACAGGGCGTCCCACAAACCATCAGGATACAGGGCGTCCCACAAAACATCAGTGTACAGAGCCTCCCAAAACAAACATCAGCATACAGGGCGTCCCACAAAACATCAGAATACAGGGCGTCCCACAAACCATCAGTGTAAAGGGCCTCCCATAAACAAGCATCAGGAGGGCGTCCCACACAAACATCAAAGAACAGAGCGTCAACCAAAAACAGGATACAGGGCGTACAGGAATAAAATCAGGATACAGGGACACCAATAAATCTTGAGACAGAAAGCATTCACATTTTCATAAAGAACATTATATACTGTAAGCTTTAAAACGTTGAAACTAACAAAAGCAAAGACAACTTTTTAAAACAAAAAAAAACCAACATCGAACATAATTAATTTATTATTTAATAATGCTTAATTTTCTGCTCTACTCTCTCTTTATGATGAAGTATATTTAAAGATGTTTTGTATACTCCAAACGTTGTTTAAATAAAAATAAATAAAAATGTTCCATGTTTATTTGGACTCTCTGTATGTGATATTAAAGATTTGATTGTTAGACGCAATATGCTTGAAACCCCGCCCTATTGTAGGTGCATGGGCGGTTCAAGGCAAAAATCCTCCTGTTTATAGATTCGGTAATATATTTTTAACATTTTCAATCTTTGATTACTCTTTCTTTCGAGTTTGCACTTTCTTTGTTGTACAAGGAGAAAAATACGTACTGGGTTACCCAAAAAGAATGAGTCATTAGAGACGACTTTACAAAATTTATGTAGTATTTTTGTATTTCTGGTTTTCTAGCCAATCATATTTTTGCATTTAAATTCCCCTTTTAAAGGATAAAAAATGTTTTTGTCTTTAAAACAACATTCAAAATTCGCGACTCCTTTCCTTAGCTTTCAACTTTACTAGCCGTCATTTTAGATTGATCTAAAGCTTTTGCGGATTTCTCTCTTTAAATTAGTGAATTTTTAAAACTAATAAATGTCGACATTTTTTTCCGGGCAACATCTTTAACTTTGTCGAGCCATAAACCTTCCCTGGGGTCATGTGAGTTGCCTCAAAAATGTTGGGCTCGATCGGTTCAGTCATTTTAACGTTTATTGGACAAAAACAAACAAACAGACACCCAGACAAACAAGCAAAGGGAATGTTTATTCATTTTCAAGCGACCCTCAATTAAAAAAGCGAGACATGTCCGATTCACAATGTTAGCATTTAAACCTGTGCAAAAATGTTTCTTTTTGTGTTTTTGTTTGTTATATGTTTAATCTGAGAATTTATCAGATTCCTTTGTAGTTTCTCTGTTTGTAATTTGCGGATTTATTTAACAGGGATGCACAGCTAGGGTTCTTAAACAAGGATGTTTACAGAATTTGTGTCAAAGGCGGGGGG